CAAAAAAAGGTAAAAATGAAAATATTGAAAAATGAAGAATAAAGACTTAAAAGTGCCCAAAAAAAAAAATTGAAAGTGGAAAATGGGAATTTTTTAAACTCCAGCCAATGGAAGGCGAGGGCGGCTCCGAGGGATACAAAAATCCCGGGATTCTCCCCCGGCCCATCCAGGAGCCCTCCCGAGCTGGGAATTCCTTGGGAATGTGGGAATGACCCTAAAAAATATGGGAATGACCCTTGGGAATGTGGGAATGACGCTCAGAAATACGGGAATGACCCTTGGGAATGTGGGAATGACCCTAAAAAATATGGGAATGACCCTTGGGAATGTGGGAATGACACTCAGAAATACGGGAATGACCCTTGGGAATGTGGGAATGACCCCTGGGAATGTGGGAATGACCCCATGGGAATGACCCTTGGGAATGTGGGAATGACCCTCGAGAATGTGGGAATGACCCCATGGAAATGCGGGAATGACCCTTGGGAATGCAGGAATGACTCCTGGGAATGTGGGAATGACACTTGGGAATGTGGGAATGACCCTTGGAAATGTGGGAATGACCCTCGGGAATGTGGGAATGACCCCTGGGAATGACCCTTGGAAATGTGGGAATGACCCTCGGGAATGTGGGAATGACCCCTGGGAATGTGGGAATGACCCTCGGGAATGCGGGAACGATCCCATGGGAATGACCCTTAGGAATGTGGGAATGACCCCTGGGAATGCGGGAATGACCCTTGGGAATGTGGGAATGACCCCATGGGAATGAACCTTGGGAATGTGGGAATGATCCTCTCCCCATCCAAGATCCTTCCCAAAGCTGAGAATTTCTTGGGAATGGCACATCTGGATCCTTCCCAAACTTGGGAATTCCTCAGGAATGTGGGAACGGCCCCTTGGGGATGCAGGAATGGCACCCTTGGATCCTTCCCAAACCTGGGAATTTCTTGGGAATGTGGGAATGGCAGCCTTGGATCCTTCCCAAACCTGGAATTCCTTGGGAATGCGGGAACAACCCTCGGGGATTCAGGAATGGCCCTCCTAGATCATTCCCAAATATGGGAATTCCCTGGGAATGGATTTCCCCGAGCTGGGAAATCCTCAGGAATGACCCCACGGGAATGTGGGAATGGCAGCCTTGGATCCTTCCCAAACCTGGGAATTTCTTGGGAATGTGGGAATGGCACCCTTGGATCCTTCCCAAACCTGGGAATTCCTCTGGAATGCAGGAACGACCTCCTGCAGTTTTTGGGGCTCCAAGCAGGGTTTTGGCGATTCCCCACCCCCCAAATCCCAAAATCTGCTAAAAAACCGGGATTTGGGATTTTCCCGCTGGCTGCTCCCCCGGCCGGGATCTCCCCTCTCCAAACCCCCTGGAAAACGACCCCGGATCCCAAAAATTGACCAAAACCCTTTTTTTTTTTTTACTGCAAACTCCCCGAGCGCCGCCCCGGGGAGGAGATGGGAAGGAGCAAAAATCCATGGAAAAATCCAGGAGAATCCCTAAAAACGGCCCGAAGGGAGCGGGAATGGCGCGGGGCAGAGCCGGGCTCTGCTCCTGAAGGCACCTCGAGATTCCAGCACAGTGACCTGGCACGGAGGGAACTGGGAACGCGGGAATTCCGGCTGATCCCGGGCCAAACCATCCGCCAGAAGGGAAAAACCCCCAATTCCCGGGAAAAAAATTCCTTTGGGACTCCCCTCGTGATCCCTGAGATGTCCCCGGGGTGGGCGAGGGCGGGGAGCCCGGGAATGCTGCTGGGATGGGATCCGGGAATGCTGCTGGGATGGGATCCGGGATCCCTGCGGATGCTGGAGGGGTGGGAGAGGGGAAATCCCGAAAACTGTAGCACCCAAAAGAGGGAAAACCAGCAAAAAATGGGAATATTGGGAAAAATGGGAGCGTAGGAGGAAAAACCAGGCGTTGGCAGCTGCTCCTTAGGGATCCCAGATCCCTAAGGGGGATCCCAAGCCGGGATCAGATTCCCAGAGTGATCCCGAGCCGGCAGCCACGGAAGTTCGGGGCTGGAAAAATGGGAAACAGTAAAAAAAAAGCTGCGGAAAAATACAAATAAAATCCAAAGCGATTCAAGGCCAGACCCTACGAAAGGCGGGGCGGGCCGGGCCGGAAGGCTCGGCTGCGGTCGGGAATTCCAAAAGCCGGGAACAGCGGGGCTGGGAATGGCCCCCCCGAGGGCTGGGAATGCGGGGACGGGGAGGGAGCACGGCGGGCGGGATGGAGAAGCGGGATCGGGATCGGGATCGGGATTGGGATCGGGATCGGGATGGGGATGGGGATGGGGGCCCCTCAGAGGGTGCGGGGGTTGTACTCCGGCAGCTTCCGCAGCTTCTCCTGCTCCGCCT